ACCAATACGGTTTCACAAAGGGAAAGTCCACACTAAGCGCCATGACTAGAATACAGACAATAGTGCAGGAAATCAAACAACAAGCTTAAAAAAACAGGGAGCTCTGCATAACGCGTTTAACTCTGCGCCATGGAGAGAGATTGACTGGGCGCTCAAGAAAGGGAACATCTCGACCTTCCTGGTGAGGATCATCCAATCCTTTCTAACCAATAGAAGGATATATATAGCCCCAAATTATACCGCACATGAAATGACATGCGGTGTACCCCAGGGCTCCATCCTGGGACCATGTCTGTGGAACCTGATGTTTAACCAGGTACTTTGCCTGGACTCCTCTTTGTCCAGGAGTCAATCTGGTGGCGTATGCGGACGATTTGGCTATAGTAGTTAAGACCAAAACTGCAGCCCAGCTTGAGGACAAAGCCCAATGCGCAGCTAAGCAGATAATCCAATACGTGGAGGAGATGAGCATTGCGGTAGCGAAGCAAAAGACACAGACAATTCTGCTGGCCAGCAAAAGAGCAATAAATAATATGGGAATAAATGTCCACTCACATCAAAAAAATAGCGGACAAGGGTAGCCAGATGATGAACATCCTACTTAGGATTATGCCTAGAACAGCCGGTCCCAAAACCAGGAATAGAAGACTGATAGCCGGCGCGGTGACATCAGCCATATTATACGCTACACCAGCCTGGAGTCATGTACAGTGGGAATCATTGCAATTGGCACACAATCTTTAAAATCCCTCGTATTAAGTCAAAATTCTAACCAATAAATCTATTTAGTGCAGCATTTTGCTATTAGGCAATTCAATCCATCTGTCAGATAGGGAAATTCAATATGGCGGCCAAGCAAGTTTGTTTTGAATGTGTTTTTATGCGTATTTCAAATTATTTTGCTTAGAGTTTTGCTTGCAACTTTGATTTGGACTATTTAATAAAATCGTTGTTGACTAGGTACCTAAACTAATAAATCGAGCAGATTCTAGATATTTTTTTCTGTTTTTTGGCCCATGTGTGGCCGCCACGCCATCTTGAAAGTCACGTGGTTTGAATTGCCTAATTACTGTGTGTCAGATTTGACACATTACAAGGGATATTTATATAGTGTGTGCCATTTGCAATGATTCCCACTATACTTAGGTACAAGCACTACCGCGACATATTGAGCAGAGTAAAAGGAAAATGGCAATCGGCATCACTTGCGCCTACAGAACGGTGCCCACAACGGTGGTAGAGGCGGTGGCCGGTCTTCCACCGATCGATCTACTGGTTGAGGAGAGACAAAAAGCCTATGAGTTAGGTAGGGGGTGCAAGGAGGATGCTAGAAGGGAGCTCATGGAGAAATGTCACGAAAGGTGGTTATTATACGACAGATGAGCTAAGACTTTCATAAAAGAATTTGAAAACTGGGCTACTAGGAGGCACGGGGAGGTGGACTACCATGTAGGTAACTCAGGCTCTGATGGGACATGGAACTTTTGGGTCATACCTGAAGAGTTACAAGAAAAGAGAGAGCGACGAGTGCGGGTACTGTATGGACACAGACACGCGCCGGAGCACACGATATTTTATTGCTTCAAGTTCAGCTTGCAGAGAGAGCGGGCAGCAGCAGCATGTGGCGAAGAAGTCACCAAAGACAATATCGCTGACTTATTGCTCACCAGTGAGAAACATTGGGTAGCGATCGTGGATATGCTAAGGAACATTATGAAGGAAAAGTGCGAGGAGGAGAAGAGAAGAGAAATAGAAAAACAGAACTAAGTAGACGTCACTGCAGGTAAGTTATTGAAAATAAAAAAGACACCGGGATCATGTAAAGTCATGGCAAGAACTTCAAAAAAACCTGGACCCCATATGGTAAGATTTAACTGTTTGTTGTCTAGTTTTTTTCATTTTGGATACTGGAATCCTAAAAGGCTTTTTTTACCTATACTTGTTGAGAGTGAGTTCTCCTATTCTAATGTCCAGGGACAAAAATCAAATTCGGAGAAAAAAAAAATGATTTTCAATGTTTTTAGTTTGGGTAAGTTCTTCCAGAGAAAAAGATACTTGATTTTGCCTCTAGAATATCTAAGACTTACCGATTGATTTTGAACCTCCCAGAACAACTTCCAAATTCAAGTTGGGGAAAATTGTTTTTAATATACTTAATATTGTTCCATTTTGGTTGTGAAAGTTGTATTTTTGAGTAATTTAAGGGCAAAAAGGGCTTTTTATACGAGTTTTCAAACTTTAAAATTGGAAATTCAGAATTTTCCGCCTTATTTTATTTCAATTTTTGTCTATTACAGATTCTTAAATTGCTTTTTATTCATGAATTTTGAGCTTAATTAGATACATTTAAATTACCAAATTTCCAGCTGCAAAACTTTTGAAGCTGGATTAAAATCATTCACAAAAGATTTGTAGAAAATTTAATTGGCTTCAATTGAAGCCTAATTACGTTAGGATCAAATATAAATTAACAAAGTTGTGAAGCAAAATGTTTGTTAGTGGCATTTTCCTGATAAAAATCATAAGTAAAACTTTGAAGCTTTGCAGCTGCAAAATTATTGAAGCTAGAATGAAATTATTCATTGAAGATTAGTAGAGAATTTAATTGGCTTTAATTGAAGCCCAATTTCGCTGAGATCGGATTGAAGTTAACTAGTTGTGAGGCAAAATGTGTGTTGTCATTTTGGGAAATATCAAATTTCCAAACAACAACATTGAGATATGTTTTATTTATTTTTTGAGAAAAGTGTTTGAAGGATTAGATTAATATTTTGCAAAGGGATAAAGGAAAGATTGAAATTTAAAAATAAAATTTACTTTTGCTCTTTCATCCTGATAAAAATCATAGTCAAAAGACTTTGAAGCTTTGCAGCTGCAAAACTATTGAAGCAGGATTGAAATCATTCACAGGAGATTTGTAGAGAATTTCAATAAAAGAATTACGTTCAGATCGGATCGAAATTAACAAAGTTGTGAGGCACAAATGTATGTTAGTGTCATATTCTTGATAAAAATCATAGTCAGAAGACTTAGAAGCTTTGCAGCTGCAAAACTATTAAATCTACTAAAAATCTACTAAAAATAATATTAAAATAAAAATAATTTGTATTGAATTGGCCTCTACTCGGTGGCAATTCATAATATTTGAAAAGATTTTTTAAGTATTTTTATTTACTTATATTTCCACTAATTAATTTGATAAAATTTACATGTTTTTGAATTTGATAATAAATTATACACTAGCAAAGTTAGACTTATAATGGGCAATCCACTAATAGACCCTGAGATAGGGCCTGTTCAGTGGAGTCATTTTTTTTTGTCTGGCATTTTGAGGGCTGAATGTGGCTAGTTAGCTGATGAAAATATGAATAGTGTCAATGCCGGCTCCCTGTTCGAAATGTCCACAGAATGTTTCGCCGGAAAACTCAATTTCGAACTGTGATTACCGTCTGGCGATTTTTCAGCGTTATTTTCACAAAAAAAAAAACTTTCATTCTCCCGATTGCCAGACAAAAAGTAAACGCGGAAGGTTCTTTTCTTTTTTCTTGGAAGTTGACACCTGTTCCCACTTTTTCAGCTATTGCAAAGCATCTGGTATTTTTCATGGGTGAATTATTTATCAATGAGAATCTTTTATTCAAAAGCCAGAAAATTTGAGATTATTAAAAAAAAATCTTCATGTGAATCAATATTTTTCTCCTCCAAGTTTTGGAACAGGCGACAGGCATTAAAATCACCCATTTTCTCATCAGCTGACATCAGGCACATTCAGCCCTCAAAATGCCTGACAAAAAAAAATGACTTTACTAAACAGTCCCTATCTCACAGTCTATAAGCCATATTTTATCTGAAATATTCATGGATTTTATTGAATCATAAATTAACAAACATCCAATTTTTAAAAAAATTCTCTACTGGCATAGATATGTTGACGATATTCTAACTTGCTTCACTGGAACAGACAGACAATTAGATATTTTTATAGACTTTATTAATAAAATCTACCTTAACAGTATTTTGGCCACATAATGAGGAACCCAAATAGATACGGGCTGCTACAGGAAATCCTACAAGGCAAAATTAATAGCAGGAGAGCACCTGGCCGAAGGAGAATATCTTGGCTAGCAAATCTTAGAACGTGGTTTGACAAATCAACAGTAGAACTTTACCGAATCGCCAGCAACAAAGTAAGAATAGCCATGTTGATAGCCAACAACCGGAACGGATAGGCACTTGAAGAAGAAGAAGACCCTAACATAAAATTTACTATAGAAAAAGAACTAAATAATTCAATAAATTTTCTAGACTTAACCATCAAAAACATAAATGAAAAACATGAATTTTCAATATTTCATAAGCCTACTCATACACTATTTGCAAATCAGCCATGTTTAGCTCATCAGGGATAAAGCGTTGAATATGAGCTATACATGTCTGGCAACATAATTTATAAAAATTATTTATCAAAAAAAAGGACATTTTAAAGCCAACTAGAAGCAAGGATATTTTTATTTTGGTTCATATATTATGATTGAAAATGAAATAGGAATGAAATTCAAATATGGTGAAACTCCCTATTCGTTTAGCACTTTATTAGTACCTACTTCAATCCCCAAACTAGCAACCTTTGTATTTTCGGAAATATTTCGGTCACATTGAGTATATGGTTCATCTGCAACTTGAGATTAAGATAGTTGAACTTTGCTATTGTTCAGACAAGATTCTAAAAATTAGCTTTCCCTCTATCTTGGACATTTCAATTTCCAAATAAATTAGTTCAATTTACTTTTCAATATTGAAATAGTTTCGTTCCAGTTTTATTATTAGATTATGCCTGACTGTTAAGCCAAAGAATCGACATTTTTGAAATCTAATTGAGAAGAATATTGAAATATATTTATAATCATTTATTTCATTTGCCTTTCGTCACTCGTCGCTTATACAAGGTGAACATCAATATTTAAATAAAAATCACTTCTTCGAGGGATTTATCAAAACTTTATTTTTGATCTAAAAGTTTTTCAACAATAATAACAATTTATAAAATCATGTTGAAATAATATGTGCTTGTCCAGTGCATGAGGTAAATTTGTCTACAAGTTCCATTCCTATGATTGGAACTTGGGCCAACGATTCAGAGTAACACCGTCCAATTTGAGGAATCACTTTTTTCATCAAATTCACAGCTTTTTCCACCTCTGCGTCAATTTCTATAGGAACCGTATAGATGTCTTTGAACAATTCGGGAGTTAAAAGTCCCAAACATATTGTCTCAGTCCAAGAGCTTCCTTCGCAATCCTTAATTCTGCTAGTTAAATTGGCTATATCCTTTTGGAACTCATGTATATTGTCTAAAACTTCATTTGTGTAATCTGTAGTGTCGTATAATTTCTCGATACTGCATGATAACATTTCATTATTAAGATCGTTGGGTAGATCGGCGATGTAGCCTATGTAGCTTTGGCATTTGGTTATGTTAATTCCTACAAATTTTAATATATTATTCAAATTATTTATCATCATATCATATTATAACCTGACAGTATTGGACAAAGCTGTTATGTTGAATACCCCAAATTTACTATTAGCTTTCTAGAACAACTTAAAAAACAGAAAATGATAGTCATCCGAGTGATTCGCGAGATTGGACATTCGCAAACGAGCGGTTGAAACCTAGGGTCCAGACTATTGCAGGTTACAATCTTGGAACCGCACCAAGAATGCTCCTGAAGACAGAAACGGGTCACTGAAAACAGAAGACTCCCAAGAGAATATGGAACTCGAAAAATGGGTAGGAATAGAGTTGTCACAACAGCACAAGATTAGAGGTCACCCTCGCTGAAGTAAAGAAATTAAGAAAAGTAGTGTTCCACAAGGAATAGGCTAGAGATTTCACATTGGAATAGCCAGAATATCACAAGAACAGCCCTGGGTAAGTTATATCCGTTGATGAATTGGGAGAGAACCATGAACCAAATCCACGTATAGCATAGCGATGATAGAGTAGGCCACGGTGAAGTGGTTCAAGTGTTTGGGGTTACACTCCAAAGACGTACCGGAAGCGACGTGAAGCTGTAGATGGCCATTATAACGTACAAAATAAAAGACTTGAAATAGGAATCACAAGAAGTCTATGAGAAGAAAACCAGAGAAAAACTTCAAGAGGGATCTGAGAAGAATGGCCAACTATAACTATGCGCAGGGGAGGTTATGTTATATTATACAAAACTTATCAATACTTGCTTGTATTGCACTGATGAAAGCTAATTAGTTCGAAGCGGAACAGTTATCAATTTTTTTCTACAATCCTCATATTTGTTTGTCGATTTTAAACTAAGTGACTTCACAAAAAAAAAAGAAAGTGAAAATTAAAGACAAAAAAACAAATATCCTCTTCCAACTTAGTTTTGTTTGATTTTGATTGGAATTAATTCATTAACAGGTGAATCTTACCCTGTTCTTCAGCATTTTCAATTGATTCATTCAACTTAGCATTGACAGGGTCCAGAGCTAAATTGAAATCGTCAGAAACTTTCGCTTCGAAATCAAATATAGTTTGATTTACTGCCACAAAGGTTTTATTTAAATTAGCAATAGCCTCCTCTAAACCTTTTTTAACGATTTCCAGGAGTCCTTCATAGATTTCTCCAGGAATGCCACGAACTTCATTGGCTTGGAGATCATTAGGTCTGGCCTGAATAACAAGGGCCTGGAAATGGTGTAATAAATATTCGATTAGAAATTAAAAGTCACTTACTTGAGCAAAGAATAAAGCGCAAAAGATGTTGAAAATTTGGTTTTTCATTTTGAGAATTTAAATACTAACTTCCAACAAATAAATAATTATTGATATAAGTTTTTTTTTCTCAAATAACTGTACCTAATCTCGTTAGACAGAGATACTATTACTTGAGACTAAATATTATAAAAATCGCTAGTTTTAAAAAACAATGGAAATTTTGATTATGCCATTTATCGCAATTGACTTTTGGAATCACTATCGCCATCCTTGCTTGAAGTACCTCTGGGAAACTTTGCTCTGGGCACGTATTCTCAAAACAGGGGAGCAGCGTTCTCATGAGAATGAGGATTCTGTTTTGGTCACCCATATTGTTATTTCCAGAATATTTGAACACCCTAATACAAAATCAACCCATAGTCCCTCTACAGAAATTTCTAATCCTCTTAGATCTGGAAATTGGAAATGCTTACTCAAAGATCCGGCGTCTATTAACTTCCGGTGAGAGGAGCATTTTCAGGAGCTCCTGAACTGAACAGAGGTTCACAGTGGATGGTGACTTCTTCAACAAAGTTCCTGAAAAGCCCACTCAAACCCATCTGACTGACGTTCCTTACCAGCTAGAGGTTGCCAAAGATATCAATCAACTTTATAATAATAGAGCTGCTGGATTAGATAAAGTATCTGCTGAGCTTATTAAGGTGGAGGCGTCACTCTGATCGAACACACCCATAATGTTCATTGCAAAAAAATACACTACCAGACGATTTTCACAGATCTGCGAGGCACCTTGTTACGAACAGTCGTGAGCATAAAAAGTGGGACACCCGGTTTTTCCTATTGTAAAACGAGCTCATCAGCTATACCTACGGCAATGACAGAGATTGTCATATTTGACAAAACATTCAATGTAGAGAAAAGACTGATTTACCCAAAATAGCGAAAAATGACAAGACCTAGCAGTCAGCTCACGACTGTAGATACAAATTTTGCCTGACTAACTATGAGATTTCGAATAAATTCGGTAATTAATTCAGGTATTTGTGAGGGTATTTATGAAGCTTTATACCTGAGGTTTAATATTTTTCGATGATTGGTAGGTTTCTCATTGGATTTTATTAGTTTTCTGCCTTGTTGATTGAATCCGAAACAATATGTGGATGTTGAACAAAGGTATATTTTTTCGGGGTAATACTGAGTTAATTCTTTGTATTCAGATGACAGGGTAGTTTCAGGATAATAAAGCCCTACTGATAGGATCGAAATCTATTTTATTTAGCTTACGAAAGTTGTCTAAAAAGCCCCAACTGTTAATGAAAATGTTTGTTCACTTCCAAATAAATATCAATTGGCAACACTTACGAGTCTCGAATTTTCCAGTATTAAAAATTCCGCAACATCACAGATCACTTTCACACCCTTTAAATCAATGTTTCACCCTTATTTCCACTAATATTTACATTTTCCCGGTTATTTATTTTCCCCGAATAAGTGTGGTTATGGGACACATGTTGATCGTTTTCAGGAAGCGCCGTTGCCGAGGTTTCTTGACCTTTGTTGCTATCGTGTTGCTCCTACGTTGCTATTTCGGAACAGGTGGTTATTCTGTTAGTTGTTAGACTAAAGACCGGGTAGATGATGTTTGTTAATTAATTAATTTTTTGAAATAGTAGTCCATGTCTCACAGTGAAGAGAATAGTTAAAGAACTGGAGTAAAACACACAGTCTATCTTCACTCTTTATTTTACAAAAATAATCAGTTGGAAGGGGGGTTGTACATGTTTCGGATCTATCATAGATCCATCATCAGCATAAGTTCTACAAGTTACAAAATTATGGGAGTTATGGCGAGGGCCTGGGGTGTATACATCAAAAACTTACCAAATGGCACAGGGAAAATATGGTCATATACGACATGCCTAAGTATAATAATTATACATAAAAATATAAGTGTTCATGCTGTTATCAGCATAAAGTTGGTGGCTAAAGCCGCATCCAACACAGAACATATTTACAAAACTGGAATAGAGGAAGCTTGTGAGTACGATTTCAAAAATTACGTCAAAGTTTCAACTTACCAAAGGTGAAGATTGAAAAAATTATTTTATTAACATTAGAAAAATAGGACTGCCACACAAACACAGAATATGCCTATAGGAGGCGGAATTCTGGACGCTCATCTGTACTTCTGGATGTTAGTGGGTGTTAGCTTTTAGTTGTTAATCAAATTTCAAAAATTTACTTAATGAAAAATCGTGCTGTCTGCACGAGGAGTAAGAATGTAATGGAGATGAGGAAGAAGATGGTGGCAGGAAATTAGTAAAATTTGCTGCATAAAAAACCTGACAATTCCAGAAATCAAACCAAGTAGCTCCCTCTTACGACCAAAAGCCAAACAATCATAGTTGGATACTAAGTTACACATCCAAAAACAATAAAATATGTTGTAAGCAATAATAAGTGTGATAAATTAAACTAAATTAAATTGAATAATATCATTACAAAAGGGATAATCAGAGTTTGACTATTGAATATTAAATTTTATATTTTTAAAGGTTCTTAAAAGGAATTATACTCCGGTGGGTAGCGTCACCTAACACGAAGAGACAAAGGTGCAAGCGGTGGTTGAATTTGTCTACTAGGGAACTCTACAAAAACTAGCGTGGTACCGCTGTGACAGGTATATAGATGGCGGCGCCCAGGACTGAAACCAAGGAGAAGAAATCTTGAAAGAAAAGAAGTAAAAGAGTGAGGTTAAACATTGTTGTTATTGACCAAATATGAATTTAGGTTGAAGTAAAGGAGAAACCGAGAGAATTGAAAAACTTCAGGCAGGAAAAATGGATTTGATCATTCACACAGGTTTTTTGAGAATTGCGCAAGGCTTTGTTGATTTCCAGGATTTCGAGTAAGTTCATAATGCGTCCCTTTTCACAGTTGTGTAAAACTACAACATCTTTTTCAGGGTCGAAAGAGTGTTTTTCTTTAAGAATGTGGTCCGAAAAGCTAGATTTACTCTGGATAAGGTCTATAGGAACTGAAGAATGTTTTCCAATTTCTCTAACATGTTCGTTGACTCTTAGGGATATCCTTCTGCCGCACTGGCCAACATAACAGACAGTACAACCAGGCTGTGACCAGTTTAAGCAATATACTCCCGATTTATCCAATAAGGGAATTCTGTCTTTTGAATTAACTATAGAAGAGCCAAGGGAGTTCTGGGTTTTGAAACAGATATTAATGTTGTATTTGTGGAATACAAATTTGGGCCCAATTTCACATAGTATCAAAAGTCTATTCCACAAATACAACATTAATATCTGTTTCAAAACCCAGAACTCCCTTGGCTCTTCTATAGTTAATTCAAAAGACAGAATTCCCTTATTGGATAAATCGGGAGTATATTGCTTAAACTGCTCACAGCCTGGTTGTACTGTCTGTTATGTTGGCCAGTGCGGCAGAAGGATATCCCTAAGAGTCAACGAACATGTTAGAGAAATTGGAAAACATTCTTCAGTTCCTATAGACCTTATCCAGAGTAAATCTAGCTTTTCGGACCACATTCTTAAAGAAAAACACTCTTTCGACCCTGAAAAAGATGTTGTAGTTTTACACAACTGTGAAAAGGGACGCATTATGAACTTACTCGAAATCCTGGAAATCAACAAAGCCTTGCGCAATTCTCAAAAAACCTGTGTGAATGATCAAATCCATTTTTCCTGCCTGAAGTTTTTCAATTCTCTCGGTTTCTCCTTTACTTCAACCTAAATTCATATTTGGTCAATAACAACAATGTTTAACCTCACTCTTTTACTTCTTTTCTTTCAAGATTTCTTCTCCTTGGTTTCAGTCCTGGGCGCCGCCATCTATATACCTGTCACAGCGGTACCACGCTAGATTTTGTAGGGTTCCCTAGTAGACAAATTCAACCACCGCTTGCACCTTTGTCTGTTCGTGTTAGGTGACGCTACCCACCGGAGTATAATTCCTTTTAAGAACCTTTAAAAATATAAAATTTAATATTCAATAGTCAAACTCTGATTATCCCTTTTGTAATGATATTATTCAATTTAATTTAGTTTAATTTATCACACTTATTATTGCTTACAACATATTTTATTGTTTTTGGATGTGTAACTTAGTATCCAACTATGATTGTTTGGCTTTTGGTCGTAAGAGGGAGCTACTTGGTTTGATTTCTGGAATTGTCAGGTTTTTTATGCAGCAAATTTTACTAATTTCCTGCCACCATCTTCTTCCTCATCTCCATTACATTCTTACTCCTCGTGCAGACAGCACGATTTTTCATTAAGTAAATTTTTGAAATTTGATTAACAACTAAAAGCTAACACCCACTAACATCCAGAAGTACAGATGAGCGTCCAGAATTCCGCCTCCTATAGGCATATTCTGTGTTTGTGTGGCAGTCCTATTTTTCTAATGTTAATAAAATAATTTTTTCAATCTTCACCTTTGGTAAGTTGAAACTTTGACGTAATTTTTGAAATCGTACTCACAAGCTTCCTCTATTCCAGTTTTGTAAATATGTTCTGTGTTGGATGCGGCTTTAGCCACCAACTTTATGCTGATAACAGCATGAACACTTATATTTTTATGTATAATTATTATACTTAGGCATGTCGTATATGACCATATTTTCCCTGTGCCATTTGGTAAGTTTTTGATGTATACACCCCAGGCCCTCGCCATAACTCCCATAATTTTGTAACTTGTAGAACTTATGCTGATGATGGATCTATGATAGATCCGAAACATGTACAACCCCCCTTCCAACTGATTATTTTTGTAAAATAAAGAGTGAAGATAGACTGTGTGTTTTACTCCAGTTCTTTAATTAATTAATTGGTGTTGGGGGAGAAAATTGGATAACAATTTTGAGTTTTGTTGGTCATTGTTAAGAATACACTCAAGTTTACTACTTATTAAACGTTTATTTGATCAAAACAAATCTATAGGTGTTTCCTTTTTTTTAACCAAATCAAAACCTCAGATTTTATTGACACATTGACAGCGCGCAGGCTGTTCGCTAGTGTTGCCAACTCTATAAACAAAATGAAGACATGATTATTCTTTTTCTTTTAAACTTGCAAAACAAAACATAA